GACGTGCAAATCACGTGTTCGCTGTTTGATTGTTCGCCTAAATAACTTTTTCTGTATGTACTAACATTCTGTATCATGCATCATCCGTATAAGTTCGTTCTCGTCGTCTCTATTCTCCATAATATACTCGTATATTACATACTGCACAAGTTTAATTATGTAATTATGTAATTTACAAGTAAAAATATCAGTTGTCTCAAGCAAGGTTACAGCGACAACTAACAGTAACCCGAATACCGAATCAAGATCGAATGGGTGTTCAGCCTGTGTTCGATACAATCAAGAAAAAGGTACGAACGAACATGAACGCGAATGTTCGAATGTCGTGTTTGCTGTTCGTTCGGTGTTCGTTCGCTAAGTGTATACGCGACTTTACATGCTCATATAATAAGTAAATTCGTTCTTTCTTTTTCTCTTTTTTCTCTCTTCTCCCTCTCCTTAACTGAATTGTATCAAATTTAATGTTGCTTTTTACACAACACACACATAACACAACAACAATAACAACAACACACACACACACGTATAAGTATTATATTTAAATAATAAAATAAAAGTTTAAAAATGAGTTTCTTAGCGAAATTATTTTATGATTCCAGGGCTGATAAGGAAAAATCGAAATTCCAGCAGGAAGTGTATGAGCTCCTCGCCCAACTTGACAATGTTACTAAAGAAAAGTTGATGTCAATAAAAACAGTCGAGAAACTCGAGATACATATATCTGAATTAAACGTCAAAATCGAGGAATTAAACCGTACAATTGTCGATATCACCAGTCATAAAACTCGGCTGTCTCAAGAGAATATTGAATTAGTCAAAGAGGTGCAAGATCTCAAGGTAAAGCGATAGATATTTTACAATTTAGAACGTATAATTTTTAATATACTGTGAATCACTAATTACTCAAATAAAATGCTAGGTGAGCATCGAGAACGTTAGCTATCTAAAGACGCAAATCGCGGGTCAACTCGACGATGCTCGTCGTCGTCTTGAAGATGAAGAACGTCGTCGTGCGTTGATCGAAGCTTCTTTGCACCAGGTATAATATTATCGATTTCGACAATTTCATTTAAAATGAATAACTTATCTTAAATGTTTATATAATCTGTCTTAAATATTTATATGATGTATACATATACAGGATACTTTATTTTAACTTTGCCAAAAAAATAACTTACTTCAAGTATCTTACATAAATTTACTACATTAATGTAATATTCCTTATAAAAATTATAAAAAAATAGAAATTAAGCTATTATTATTCCATTTCTTGTTGCGAATATTGAAAAGAATAGCTGAAATTCAGTAATTAATAATACTATTTTGTTAACTAAAAGAAATCTTTTCTAGAAATAAATACAATTAGATATAATTGTCACTATACATTATAGGTCGAAGTGGAATTGGAATCCGTTCGCGTCCAGTTGGAAGAAGAATCTGAAGCACGTTTGGATATCGAACGTCAATTGGTCAAGGCTAATGGAGAAGTCTCAATATGGAGATCAAAATATGAAACCGAGGCTAATGCTCGTATCGAAGAGGTAATAAGCATATTTATCAAACAAAAATATAATTTTGTCAACTTAGTAATTGCTTTCCTATCTTTATTACATTAATATCAAAATCTGAAATAACAGTTACTAATAAAAACTTAACATAATTTTACACAGGTAGAAGAACTTCGTCGCAAATATGGTGCTCGCATCCAAGAACAAGAAGAACAAATCGAAACCTTGCTTGTAAAGATCAATAATCTTGAGAAGCAGAAATCACGCTTGCAATCCGAAGTAGAGGTCCTGATTATTGACTTAGAAAAGGTAAGATTTTATTGTATTCCAGCTTTGTACTAACATATCTTTTCTGAAAAACAAATATTTTACATTCTTAAAAATAGAAAAATTTTTCATATTATAACTTTTTTCTTTAAGGCCAATGGAACTGCTCGTGAACTTCAAAAACGTGTTGAACATCTTGAAAAGATCAATATAGAATTGAAAACTCGCTTGGACGAATCCCTCGCCATGTATGAGCAAAGCCAGCGCGATCTTCGTAATAAACAACAAGAACTGCAACGTGTAAATGCCGAACTCGATAAGACCCGTGAATTGAAAGATCAATTGGCTCGTGAGAACAAGAAACTTGGAGGTGACTGTATTATTTTTTATTTTTAAAATATACAATCTAAAAATGCAGTAGCAATAATAAATTATGAATTTCTATAATAAATTATTATATTCTGTAAGTTTATACGTTTTTGACAAAACTGAAGTTTCTCTTTATTTATATTACTTAATCGGGGAACTTCCTTGTGAATAAAATAAATATTTTTTACAGACGGTAGAAAACGATTCACATAAATATTTTAATAATTAAATTGTAAAATTATTAATTTTAATAACATTTATATAGATGATCTTAGTGACGCAAAGAATCAATTGGCTGACATGAATCGCAGACTCCATGAATTAGAGTTGGAACTTCGCCGATTGGAGAACGAACGCGAAGAATTAGCTGCTGCCTACAAGGAAGCTGAAGCAGTGAGTAACCATTCATGTTTGTATATGAATATCGTGAATATTATTCTGATTGTAAACAAAATGATATAAGACTGTTAACAGTAATATTTGTAACCAAAATTTTTTAGATAATTTAATATTTAAAAAAGTCTTAAAGAATTTTAGTTTTACGTAATAAGATGAAATTAATTTTCGTGTTATTATTTTATTTGAAATTAGGATTCTTCAAATATTTTAAACTAAAATAGAGTTTGTTGCAATATAAAAACAAATTCTTTTATCAATATTTTTTTTTTAATATTATCTTTAGTAGAATAAATATAAACGTTACTAAAATAAATCCAAATCAAATTTTAAAAAACAATTTATTAAAGATAGAATTTAAAATAAGAGTTCTTGGTAATAAGTATTATTCTATGATTAATTAAATCAAATATAACATAAATCATAACAAATAAAATATTAAATAAGGGAAAATTTCATATAAGGGCCGCAAAATTGAAGAGCAACGTGCTCAAAGATTGTCAGCCGAATTGAGCCAATTCCGTCATGAGTTTGAGCGTCGCATTGCTGAAAAGGATGAAGAAATTGAAGCTATTCGGTAAGTTTTTAACAATAACTAAACTTTTGCATTGTTTTTTTGAAATATTAAGTTTAAAGAAATGAAAAAAATTGCCCATACATAATTATATACAGGTGTCCCCAACATACGGCCCCACTCGTCTTGAGCAGGTAGAGCGGACTAAACTGAGTCGAAAAGTCCTCTACCATTTTGCAATTTTCGCAATAGTTAACAAGATATTAATTACTAAAAATTGCAAAATATTGATCTTGAATAATTTTTTACTCAAATACTATCAACTTTACAGAAAAACTGCAAAAGACAAAAATCATTTATTTTCTTCTCATAAAGTTCTGAGAATTTTTTCAGAATTTTTTAATACCGTATTTTCTCACGTTGATAAAAATAAGAAAATGCAGTACTAAAAAGTTGATAATAAACTCTGAAAAAATTCTCAGAACTTTGTGAGAAGAAAATAAATGATTTTTGTCTTTTGCAGTTTTTCTGTAAAGTTGATAGTATTTGAGTAAAAAATTATTCAAGACCAATATTTTGCAATTTTTAGTAATTAATATCTTATTAACTGTTGCGAAAATTGCTTATATATATATATATATATATAATTCAATATATATGTTTACATATATGACGTATAAACAAATTTTTCTTTTTTTCTTCAAACTTGATCTTTTATAAAAAAAACAATGCAAAAATTATTCTTTTAATTCTTTTTTAAGTATTTTTATTATTATTACTATTTTTTGTACCACAAACAGCAATTTTACAAAAAAAAAAAATATATGTAAACATGTATGGACATATTTCGTATATAATTATATATATTTAAATGTATATATTTAAATATATCATATAAAGAAATTTTTATTAGGTAATATTAATTAATTGACCTTTTTACTTATTTAATAAAGTTGCAACAACTCATAATGTTATTGCATATTGATTTTTTATTAGTATTTCTTATTACTTTCAAATCTGCTATTCTCCGTGAAACATTCTTCAATAAAAATTACATACTTTTTAAAGAGAGAAAGCTACATTCTATTGATTTAAAATAAGATTTACTTTATTCTAATCTGGGAAAAAGAAGAAAATTATTTTTAAAAATATTGTGCCAATGCGCAGTTGTGTTGATATGAAAAAAATATGTCTCTTTTGCTTAGGTAAGTTTGCTTTAATTTTTAATGAAACTATGTTATACTTATATTACTTGCGCGTGATTTTTATTGGGATTTTAATTTGATAATTACATCGTATAATATAGTATTGTATTTATATAATGTTTAATTTTCCAATAATTACATTATACAGTACGTAATCAGTAATACAAATTGCAAAAAGTATTGTAATGTATGTATTACACATATAGTAAAACGTATAAGTGTTAATTGTATTATTAAAGACATGATATAATCAATTCTAATTTTGACCAGTCATCGTAAGTCGAGAAATGTTATTATTAACACACATAACGAAATGTTGTTAAATTTATCAACGATCGATTCATACTTTTAATGACGTAATCAATTTCTTTTCACAATTTAAATTATCTATTTATATATGATAAAAAATGAAATATGATATTGTTACATTTATAGACATAGTTTATTTAAAAAAAGCTCTTTTTTAATAAAAAAAATTTTATTTTACAAAATCAGAGTAAAGACTACAAGAGGAATCGTCTATCTACTACAAATTATTCTACAATGAGTATGTATTTCATATAAACATATAAAGTATGTAACAATTAAAAACGGCATAGAACCAATATTGGTTCTATGCCCTTTTTAATTGTCATATTGTTTTATACATACGGAACCTTATAATTATTTATTATATAAAGTATGCTTTGCGATACATATAGCATTAAAATTTATTATGATCATTTATTCTGGTCACTAACATTCACGCTGAAATAAAATGGATGGTATAATAAAACAGATCAGAGATTGATATTAATAAGGACAGATGATGACAATATATATGACAATACGATTCTATTAATAAGTACAAGAAATACGATCAGTCATGATCCAATTATTGAGAGGTGCTGATTGGTTGTTCTCGATGTGGCAATCGCAACGAAAACTACAAAAGATACCACCTAACCATCGACCCAATTTTTATCAACGATCTTGTTGCAAGTGTCACCATCATCTGTACATCTGTTCATAGAAAGCATAAATACATAAAAAAATCACGCAATAAATTAGATTAAAAATTGGAAACCTGACAATAACAGAATATAATCGAATTGTCAAGAAACAAAAAATTTTAAGAGACGACTGTCTGAAAAGTTCTTTACATCAATTATATTTTTCTATAAATCTTTAAGAATCAAAAATAAAACAAAAAGTGGACGTTTAAAACTTTATTAAAAATGGCAAGTTATATGCCACCAAATTATATGCCGTTGGAATCAAAATGGCGACATTATCCAACGTACATCTATTCAAGAAATTACGGATACGGAATAAATTATTATCAACCAATGATTGATTATATAGATTCCAAGCGAATCGCTTCAAGATCACCTTTACCAGAGCTTGAAAGAAGAATGGAATTACCTGAATTACCCTGGTCTGACAGCAGAGTTTTATGGGAAGACAAAAAAGTGCAACCCTACACGAGAGATGATGTAATTAAATATGCAATTGACGCTGAAGACGAAGCCAAAGATCACCTATCTCGTTTTAAGGTACGATACTAGCAAAAAAGTGCTGATAAGTTTTTGCAAAGAGGAATTTTGAGGAAATATGAGGCGATCCGTTCTCCGAGTGCCGCGCGCCTTGGCGACTGTTCGACCTTTTCGGTTTCTAAATTTGGTTCCGCGAGAGAGGTTGCTTCGTTTCAAGTGGCAATAATCAAAGACGTGTGCATGAAAGACGTGCGTAATTCGTGTCATTATTGACGTCGTTGCATTTTCTTTCATAACACAATTTATTTTTCTAGCAAAAATATGCAATAACAACGTATTATTTTTTCTTTTATTTAATTTCATATACGTAATAAATAAAAGTTAATTGCCTAACAAATTTGCTTCTTTGATACATTCGTAAATTTTCTTTTAAATATCATAATTTAATGAAACAACATTGGAAATAATATAAAATTTATTTTCAAGAAATAGATTTTAAAAACATGCAAAAAATGTAAGAAATTTTATAATTTAAATAAATTGTACTAACTTATTTATTGCAACAGTATAAATAAATTGTTTACATTGTTACTTAAACACATTGTTCTGATATCTGTTGTTTCTAAAAATAAATAAATAATTATTTAGTATATATCTAAAAGTTACAATAAATATATAACAAACAATATTTATAAAATAAAGTAATTTACTTTTGTATTTATACTTTTAAATGCAATCATGCATACTGTCTTAAAGTATTCTAGTATAATTAATATTCTATATATAATTAATAATCTATATAATTAATATTCTACATAATTAACAGTCTATAATACAAATCATATCTTTAATATTAGAGATATCTTCTCTAAAAAATAATGATAATTACATTTTCGTTGAACAACTAGTATATCTTAGTATTCCTTGGAACCAAATAGGAAATTTGATTATAACATAATACGTAATACAATCTTAAAAGCAATGTTTATATATCCAGAGAGGAAAAAGTTTTTCTATATTAGCATTTAATAAAACTTTCCTAAATAATTCACTGCAGAAGTTTCCTATATCAGTTCATAAAAACTATCCGAGCTAATAAAAATATCGCGAAATACTGCACCGAACAATTTCTTGGCATTCTATTATTTGAACTATTTCTCATAGTCGTGATTAAGTCAGAATAGTTTGCCAAATCGTACAGAACAAAAATCCTCTGTTCCCGGACGAAAGGGACAGTAGGTGTTCGGTGCATTGGCAGTCGCTCTTGAATCTCTCAAGAGGGTCGGTCACGAGTGGCGCCGATTACTTTCGCATTCTGGACCGCTGCGGCTAAGTTTAGGTGACCACGTCGTACAAGTGCGCGTGCACGACGGAAAACGGTGGTGCCCGTTAGATGTACGCATAGAAAAACACGAGCGACCAACGTGCAAATTGACGCTGACCATCTGTCTGCCTGACGTGCCCGAAGATAGCAAATCGCTCGGACTTCAGCCTGGCCAAGACCGTGCAGGCCAGCCGCGTGACCAAGGAGATTTTTCCGCGTACCGGAAAGGACCTGAAAAGACTACCTATGCCGTTGATGTTCGCCAGCACTCGTGCCCGCAGCGAGGTCAAGGAGATCCAGCAGGAAGCGATGAGCAATATTAAGCTGCAGGCGTTGAAAGATGTTCGGATGATGACCGAGGTGAATGACGCGTTGAAGCATGCTAAAAGTCTCCGTGGAAAATCTGCGAAAGCAATAGAATTCCATCTAAGGACAGAAGCACTGAAGAATCTGTCCAAGAGCCAGGAGTTGGCTGATATCCGGAAATTCCAAAAGGAGACCGTGCATTCTCTCTGGGACGACACGGTACATAGCAGATTGATGAACGAAAGGGCCAAGGCTCTAATTGATGAGGACAAGCTGACGCAGCCACTTGATACGCTCAGCAGGGAGCTGCGCGGATTCGAGCAGAAGTCCAGCAATTATTTTCTAGATAAGAGGTATCAAGATCGTGCGAGACGGGAACTATTGTATGGGTGTCGAGGATGCGAGTATTATAATGTTAAGCGTGGTAGATAAGTAAGAGTTGTGACGTTATGATTGAGTTCTCAGAAAAAAGGTACAATATTTTAATTTTTAGAAAAGAATAAAAATGCGTGAAATAGAAATAAATGATTTTAATAATTGATATTTGATTTTATGTCTAGAAGAAGTTTATTTCTCTTGTAAGAATTTATTTTAATATCCCCTTGTCCCATAATATTATATTCTTTCATTATCAATTAGTATTGATTTTAAAAGACACGGAAAAGTTGTGTAAAAGCAGCCGAAAATTAAATCCCAGGATGGATAAAGTAAATCGATGGACATCCAAACTGATAACAAGAGTAGGACTAAATATTAAATATTAGATGTATCAAAATTGTTTGGAAATAATAACCAATAAAATGTCATTCTTAAATTCCGAAGAATAGCACTGTGATTGAAAATTTTATTGTTTAAATAATATTTATCAAAATAGAGAGAGTAAAAAACTATTTGATATGTTTACATCGAATGAAATTAATAGTAAACAGACCAGCATCGAAATCGAGCAGCTGAATGCCCGCGTGGTGGAAGCTGAGACGAAGTTGAAGACCGAAGTTCAGCGTATAAAGAAGAAACTCCAGATTCAAATCACCGAGCTCGAATTGTCCTTGGATGTCGCCAACAAGAACAACATTGATTTGCAGAAGACCATTAAGAAGCAGTCTCTCACTTTGACCGTAATATCGACACTTACATCTGCCAATATGTCTAAAATAGCAACCATCTTACACGTTTAATTATTTTATTTTTCAGGAATTACAAGCTCATTACGACGAAATACAGCGCCAGTTGCAAGTGACCCTGGATCAACTGGGCATTAGTCAACGTCGTCTCCAATCATTGACGGTTGAGCTCGAGGAAGTTCGCGGCAATTACGAATCTGTAAGTAGAGGAATTGATTTGAAGCACTTAACTTGAAAGAGATTGATTACAAAATGTGTTTAAAAAGTTTAGTTTATCTTCCGGATAAGCGAAGGTACGAATAAATACCACATTATATAAGCGTTACGTAATGGTTATGTATAAAGCATGAAATTGTATTGAAGGCCCTGCGTGCAAAGAGGACTGTCGAGCAGCAATACGAGGAATCGGTTAGCCGTATCAACGAGCTAACTACAATCAATGTAAACCTTGCTTCATCAAGGGCTAAACTGGAGCAAGAACTAGCCACTTTGGCTGGAGATTATGAAGAGGTCACTAAGGAGTTGCGAATTAGCGATGAGAGATACCAGAGAGTACAGACTGAACTCAAGCACACCGTTGAGATTCTCCATGAGGAACAAGAGCGTATTGTCAAAATTGAGGCTATCAAGAAGTCGCTGGAGATTGAGGTAAAGAATTTGTCCGTGAGATTGGAAGAGGTTGAGGCTAACGCCATTGTTGGAGGCAAGCGCATTATCAGCAAGCTCGAAGCCAGGGTGAGAAGAAAGATAAAACTTTTTTCATTTTAATATTATATCATTCTCTTACTTCAAAAGTAACACAACTAAAAAAAATGCGATTTTCGTGTTATCATCATAAATGAGTTAGATAAAAATTATTCTATTAATTAATCAAAAGTAAACTAACTTAAATTCACAGTCTATTTGTCAAATAGCACTTGTGTCTTAAGGTTTTCAAAAAGGTTATAATATCTTCTATAGAAAGGGCATATTTTAAGTTGTATCATTTTTGTAAAGAAAAAAAAGAGAATATTTGACAGAGAAATTTAGAATTAAGACAGATTTGATGATCAAAGTTTGAAGAAGAAATTATTTTATTTTAAATTCAATTGTTTTAGCTGATTAAAATAAATATAATAATTAAATAGTTAATGATATTTTGAGTTACGTCATTTTTAACGAATTATTCTGGATTTTATAATTTTGTAAGATGTCGAAATCGTAATTCAGAAAGAATTGTTTTTTAAGAGTTGTAAAGTTAATTTTCTGTATAGTTAAAAAATAATTTTTTTTCGTTTCTGAAAAACTTAATTTTTTTAATCATTTTTTAAGTAATAGATATATTTTTTAATATAAATTTATAATTATAAAATAATTGAATTTTTTTAAATACAATTTTATATAATTAAATATTAATATAAAAGTTTTATATAATTAAAATTTTATATAATTAAATAATACAAATTTAATGTTTTATTAAAATATCTTTTAGATTTCGTTAACAATGCTTTCTTGGTAGTACTTGTAATATTCATCATTATTATTGTTAATTTTTAATAAATTTCGTTATTTATTAATTTTTAATAAATTTCGTTTCTATAATTCTTGCATAGATTCGCGATCTGGAACTCGAGTTGGACGAAGAAAAACGCCGACACGCTGAGACTGTAAAGATACTTCGTAAGAAGGAGCGTAACATTAAGGAGGTAATGATTCAAGTTGAAGAGGATGCGAAGAACATCTCTCTGCTGCAGGAATCATTTGACAAAGCAGCCCAGAAAGTCAGCATCTACAAGAGACAGCTGCAGGAGCAAGAAGGCATGTCCCAACAAAGCGTCACCAGGGTCCGCCGATTCCAAAGAGAACTCGAGGCCGCGGAGGATCGCGCCGACACGGCAGAGAGCAATTTAAGCTTGATCCGCGCCAAACACCGCAGCTTTGTCACCACTTCAACCGTGCCCGGTTCCCAGGTATACCTCGTCCAGGAGACGAGGCAGGATCTATAAAATAATCACCGTCATCTTACCCTTTGCCACTTCGAACGTCGTCGTCTTTATAAACGTATGTTTAGTATAAAATGCGATACATAACATGATATAGAATAATTAGATTTTTTAATAAATAGTACCCAGATAATAAAAAGTGTCTAAAATCAGGTCATAAGACGTTTTTTGCGCCTAAAAGACGAATTAAAGACGTCTTACGTCATAATTTTAGACTTTGTTTGGGTAATATTAGTCTTACAATTAAAGAATGAAAATTTTGTATGACTAATATTAATGGATAACAAATTATATTTTGTAATTATTTTTAAAAAATAAGAAAATTTAAAGTGGTACTTAATTTTGTCAGGCACAATTGAACATCCTACCAGAAAAGAAGAGAGAAAAGGACGCGATATCAGTCATCACAAAGAGACCGAAAGAAAGAGAGAGAGAGAGAGAGAGAGAGAGAGAGAAATAAAAAGAGTTTTCAACGGGTCGCAAACGTGTTATTTTCGAGGGGTTTAAATTGGAGCAACCAGAATACGCACCTATAAACATGAATATCGATACGAATATAGTGCTCACTGTCACGTAACGACCCGTCGTGAATTCGAAATTACTTGGCCAACGAAATGCGATACATCGCAACGAAAACATTACATTAAAAAAAAATTAACGCTCACTATTTAAGAGATTTTATTAAAGCATCAAAAACGTTAAAATTATAAGAATCGATATCGTTTAATAAATGGATAAATAAAATTTAACAATCTTCTCGTCCCAATTATGTGAATATAATCAAACGTAAGGGCAGAGAAAACATAAAAAATTCAAGAAGAGAACAATGATAATTTACGTCCTTCTATACGCGCGTGTCGCAATTGTATTTAAATGGATAATTTTAATTCTATTCTATTACTATATAGATAGGTAACTATTGCCCATATACACGACTCTCACTATACAACATACACAATAACCTGTGTCAACATTAATTTAATAAATAAAGTGAAACACGTACGTACGAAAATGTTTGTGTACTTTATTTTCCACGTTTCTGAAAAATATTACCCTAAAAAATTTTATTAACTATTGTTATTTTATAATCAAAATAATCAATAAAGAATGGATCAAAAGTTTTTCTTTGGGTTGAATAATTCTAATATGTTTCAGTAATCATTTTATGTAGATTATAATTTATGATGGTGCTACTTAACACAGTGACAAATCGATTTAACTCACAATAATTTCATTAATATTAACGGTAAGAAACTGAAATTGTAACATTATACAATATATATAACATAAAGGCATATGTAACAGAGTAGTTGCGGGAAAATGACCTCTACTCCTTCTATTTTTTCTGACTTCAGCGGCGTAAATCTCAGCGTGACGTATTTATCGGAGTGACCCTACATTTATTGGAATATTTTATGGTTTTATCATTAAAAATTGCTTTTGGAAAGCACATATGACTAGAAAAGCGATTTATAGGAAAATTAAAGTTAGTGAGATATATGTACAGAAAATAGTTTTCATTTTTAGAGTCTTCGTAAAAAATTTATCCATGCGTTACATTGCGATATTGCTGGAACGTTTCGTTGCAATATAACAAAAGTGGACATCTTAACATTGTTAGAATCTAGCAACAATAATTCAGCAACGTTTCACAACTACCATGTAATATTGCAATGTTTCAGTGAAATCATTCTGCAATGTTTCTGTGCTGTATGGGGAAATACGTGTACTGTAAGTTGGCATAATTTATTGTTGTTGCGCATGCACACGGGTAGAAATACAGTCAAAATAGCTATAATCTAGAATAATTTGTATGTCACAGCAAAGACTATCGTGACTATCAGTTTTAGGATAAAGTTAGCATATGACAGCAAATGGTCATACAGACACATGCGTTCATTTACGCGGCTTTAAAATTATTACTTAAGGATCTGTGCGTAATTCTGTAATCAGCGTATTTATGAATTTGTGTGTCCGCGTTAATATACTTATACATATATGTATTATAAATTGTAATAAGTTGTAATGATTAATTAATCTTTAAATTTAATCTAATATTAGCGAGGCGGAGATTCTGAGTTGTTATAGGTCCAGTTGAAGCAAAAATTATTTTTTAATTCTATTATCAATATTTTTACATAATTTTAAGATAAAAAATTAACTTTAATCGAATATAATAATTACGTACGAGAATAACATTCTCCGTTTATTAATTTATCTTTATTATAGAGTATCACACTGCTGTAATATGTGGTTGTGACCACTTCTTTATAGCAAAATACTTATGCAATCAAAATAGCTGTGACATCGTTTTCAAAACCTAAAAATATCATTTTATTTTTGCTGCTATAATGTTATGGAAACATTATAATGACGTTGTGGCAGTAGTTGTAATAGACAAGAATATTTAAGCTACAACAATGTTATCGCAGACGTTTTAAAGCTTCATATGCTGCTTAGTGTATAATTGCGTCCTATCTGCAAAGAATTCATTACAATGAAATGTTGCGTGAATAATTTATAACACTTAAAGTATTTATACAAAAAAATTAAAACTTTTATTATTATCTTTTAAATTTCATATTACAACAAATAAAAACTAATAACAACTAACAAATAAAAAAATAAACTAGGAAAATGTGTTGTTCAATAAAAATAGAATTATAAACCCAACTTTCCATGTGTATATAATTTATTTAAATATTAACACATTTGTGAAAATGAGTGTGATACATCCTTAAAAATCTGATATGATAAAAGGTATTAAAGAAGAAAAAACAAAGAAGTACATTAAAGTAAATTTAAT